AAAAAGTCACAAAGTAACGCAGCATAATACATAACTATATTTATTTATTTATTTATTTTAAACATTTAAAAAAATTATTTTTTATTGGAGTATAGTTGCTTTACAATGTGTTAGTTTCTACTGTACAGCAAAATGAATCACCTATACGTACACATATATCCCCTCTTTCTCATATTTCCCTCCCATGTAGATCACCACAAGCACTGAGTAGAGTTCCCTGCTCTACACAGGAGGCTCTCATCAGTTGTCTACTTTATACATAGTATCAGTAGTGTATATACGTCAGTCCCAATCTCCCAATTCCTCCCACCACCCCCTTCCCCCTTGGTATCCATAAGTTTGTTCTCTTCGTCTGTGTTATAACTATATGTATTTTTGAATCAACACTATTTAAAATACATTTCTGGGGAAATATTTTAAAATCTATTTTAAAGTGGTATTGATTCAAAAATCCATATAGCTTTCATTTTAAATATTGAGAGGTAAACACAAAATGATTATGACTTCTATTAGGGTATGAGTATTAGAGTATTTAAGTATAAAATTCAAAAGAAAAAAACATACAGTTAAAAACGGGGCCTCCATCTCATCTCTTGTCTCTTAGACACTTAGGTTTCTGAGTTAACCTCTAGAATCAGCTTCGTATGTATTCTAGAGCTGTCTATGCATGTTTTTTACTTTGTTTTATTTAATTTTAAAAACTATCATAGAGTAATATTGATTTTTATTTTAACACATGTATAGATGCAAGTAACTACCACTATAGTGTGTTAACAGAATAGGATTTAAGCTTTTTTAATGCTTAAAAAATATTTTTTTTAAGGGTGGAAATGTAGAAATACTGGCTTTTCCCACCCTTTTTCAGTTTTTTTAAAAAATTAAAGTATAATTAAGATATAGTGAAATTCACCCATTTTATTTATTTATTAAAAATTGAAGAATAGTTGGGGCTTCCCCGGTGGCGCAGTGGTTGAGAGTCCGCCTGCCGATGCAGGGGACGCGGGTTCGTGCCCTGGTCCGGGAGGATCCCCCGTGCCGTGGAGCGGCTGGGCCCGTGAGCCATGGCCGCTGAGCCTGTGCGTCCGGAGCCTGTGCTCCGCAATGGGAGAGGCCACAACAGTGAGAGGCCTGCGTACCGCCAAAAAAAAAAAAAAATTGAAGAATAGTTAATTTACAGTGTTGTTAGTTTCAGGTGTACAGCAAAGTGATTCAGTTATACATATAAATATTCTTTTTCAGATTATTTTCCATTATAGGTGAAATTTACCCATTTTAAATGTGTATAGTTTGTGTTTTAACAAAATGTATCATAGGGGACTTCCCTGGTGGTCCAGTGGGTAAGACTTCACCTTCCAATGCAGGGGGCCCAGGTTCAATCCCTGGTTGGGGAACTGGATCCCACATGCATGCCACAACTAAGAGTTCATATGCCGCATCTAAGAAGTCCCGTGCGGCAACTAAGACCCGGAGCAGCCAAAATAAATAAATAAATAGGTAAATAGATAGATAAATAAATAAATAAATATTTTTTAAAAATGTATCATAGTGTAGCCACCACCACAGTCAGTATACAGCTCCTGTCAACCACCAGTCAGTTTTATTTTCTCTAATTTTGCTTTTTCCACATGCTATATAAACACAACTTCAGTATGGTTTCTTTCATTTAGCATAATGTGTTTGAAATTCATACATGTTTTTGCTTATATGAGTAGTTTGTTCCTTTATATTGCTGAAAAATAGTCCATTGTACGGGTGAACCATAGTTTTTAAATCCATTTCCCAGTTGAGGGACATTTAAGTAGTTTCCAGACATTCACAGGCAGGTTTTGTGTGAACGTAGGTTTTTCCTTTTACTTGTGTAAATACCTAGGGACAGTATTGATGGGTTATTTGCTAAGTGTATGTTTAAGTTTATAAGAAACTGCCAAACTGTTTTCTAAAGTGGCTGTACCATTTTACATTCCCACCAGCAATCTATGAGAGTTTCTGTGCAATTTCATCAGCACTTGATATTGTTGGGTTTTTTTTTTTTGAAGCTATTTTAATAGGTGCATAGTGGTATCACCTTGTGATTTTAGTTTGTATTCCCCTAATGATTAATGATGTTGAGTGCTTGCCATCTATATATATTCTTTGGTGAAATGTCTGTTTAAATCTTTGCCTACTTTAAAACTGAATTTTCTTATTATTGTGTTTTGAGAGTTCTTTATGTATTTTGGATACAGGTCTTTTGAGATTTGTGAATATTTTCTCCCAGTCCATGTTTTCAATTTTTTCTTTTATAGATTGTGCTTTTGGGGGTTGTATCTTAAGAAATCTTTGTCTCGCCCGAGGTCACCAAGATTTTCTCCTGTATATTTCTTCTAGAAATTTTATAATTTTAGGTTTTACATTTAGGTCTGTGATACATTTTGAGTTATATTTTTATTATGGTGTGCGGTATGGATTGAGGCTCATTTTTTTGCATATGAATACCTAGTTCTAGCACCATATATTGAAAACATGTATTTCTCTGTTTTTGAACCTTTGTCGATCAGTTAGTCATAAATATTGTAAATTAACTGTACTTCAAAAAAACATAAATGTGTGGATCTTTTCCTGGACTCACACTGTATTATTAATGCTCTTTTGTATTGTGTTAGATAGATGCAGAATGATTTGAAAACTTAGCTGTGTTTAGAATCTGGTATTTATGAACAGTAATTTGTAGGGAATTCTCTGGTGGTCCAGTGCTTAAGACTTTGCGCTTTCACTGCCGCCCCGGGTTCAATCCCTGGTCGGGGATCTAAGATCCCACATCCCGTGCAGTTCGGCCACTGAAAAAAAGATTTTGCTAATGATTCATGATCTGTTCCGAAAAACTTGAGTTAGTTCTCGTGTACTAAGGATGAATTGGAATGGGTTTTCCCAGATGGCATTTTCTTTTTTGTAGAATTACTTGGTATTTCACTAATAATATCTGTTTAAGTGTTTGTGCTTTTATTATATCATTTTTGATAGTGATAAATTTGGGAGCAGTTCTTTTTTGATTTGAAACACGGTTGTCCTAAGTTAAATACTCTAAAGATTTAATTATTTTAAAAATAGTACCCAATTATTGTTGGTAGTTTGAGATTTTTATTTATTTAGTTATTTATTTATTTATTTATTTATTTATTTATTTTTTGCGGTACGCGGGCCTCTCACTGCTGTGGCCTCTTCCGCCGCGGAGCCCAGGCTCCGGACGCGCAGGCTCAGCGGCCATGGCCCACGGGCCCAGCCGCTCTGCGGCACGTGGGATCCTCCCGCACCGGGGCACGAACCCGCGTCCCCTGCATCGGCAGACTGACTCTCAACCACTGCGCCACCAGGGAAGCCCGAGATTATTCTTTTATAATTAGATCATATCAAGCTATAGAATGAAAGAGAATTATGAGATTTGGCTGGACATTGGTGTTCTATAATACTGTGAGGTTTGAGTTAATCTAATTATCTGGATATTTATTATTTAGGAATTTAGCTGTGCTTTGTAACTAACACCTTTTAAGTAACTGTTAAACTTTTAAATGTTGGAATAGAAGTTAAAATGCCAAGAGGCAGGTGTTATTTTAAAGAGATCGTTGGACAAAATATTGAAGATTAAAACAGACTTTCAAGATTGATAGCTATTTTTTCACGTTTTAGTATTTGTTGATGATTGCTTTCTCTCATTCTTGGAAGGGATACCTGCTGTTAAATCCTATTCCATTTTTAAGATTAGCTTTTTGTCTTTGGAAACCCCACTCCTGTCCTATTACACCTTTCTTTTTTTTGGATAGACTGTACCACACAGTTTTATTATTTTTAATGTAAAATACACATAACATAAAAATTTTCATTTTAATTATATTAAAGTGCACAGTTCAGTGGCATTAAATACATTAACAATGTTGTACGACCATTATCACCACTGTCTAGTTGCAGAACTTTTTTTTCACTACAAGACCACCATTCTTCTCCTTATGGACTTCACATTCTGGTGAGGGAAACAAGTAACGTAATGTTTATGATACAGTGTGGCAAACTATATGTTAGAGCTTGCTATCATTAAGCTTTATCCTTTCAACTGAAATTTTACTTTGAAAAAGCAAAGTCAGTTTTGGTTAGGTTAACATTCAAGTTGTCATACCACTCCACACCTGAATTAAATTTAGGCTAACCTGAAGTCTTTAGTCTTTTGACTTAGGTCAGTTCAGGACTCACAACTCCTCATGCCCCCTACTTTGTAACACGAAGGAAACCGGAAAATTGATACTCTGAGTTAAAGCCAAATTATGGGCTCTTCCTTTCTCATGGAGCAGAGAAAGCCAGGATTAGAGAGAATATCCTAGTTGTCTGCACCTATCCTCAATTGAGCTGTTTTGACTTATTCTAATCGCAGTGACAGCTTGCTTGATTGTGGTCAAATATGGCATCATACGGGCATGCTTATCTCTTTTGGCAGATCATTAGAGGAATAGCTGTATTTGGGATACTGTGTCAAGAGATTGTTTCTGAATTCCTTGAAACTTTGGAGTTAGAACTTGATGATTTAAAGTTGAATGTTGTAGCAGTTTTAGTTAAAAGCAGTGTTGTCAACATTGAACAGTATTGTAATATAGATGTTATTTGCATTCTACTGTTAGGGTTTATTTTCTGTAGCACAAGATTGTTTAGGAAAAGTAAAACACAATACAGCCCTTTGTTTTTAAGATTCTGCAGTCTTCCTAATATAGTCAGTCTATGAAAGAGTTGATAGCCCGAATGGTTGATAATGTTTTAGTTAGCAGTTTCAGTGTTCGTCATAGGAAGACGAGTTCACATTATTAGATCTAGACTTCTGATTGTTTTTATAAATTTAAGAAAGTCTGAATTTGTGGCATAATTTGATTGTTTATGGAAAAAGAATGAAAAGTTAAAATAACCCCTAGTTTGATTGGTTTTACTAATAATTTTGGCATTTATTGCTTTCAGAAAAAATAACTGTTGTCTTGTTTTTTCAGGGTAATCACTTTGATCAGTATGAAGAAGGACATTTGGAAATTGAACAAGCATCACTTGACAAGCCTATAGAATCGGTAAGATCAGTGCTTAATTTTGGGTCACAGATAGGTAGTGTTCGTGTGACACTTGATGTGAATGAAGTTAAACTTATTAATAACTTATAGTACAGTTTAGAGGTCTTGCATGCCCTACAGTAATCAAATAGAATTTGGGTTGTAATCTAATATTTAATATGTTGGGAAATCAGTGAAAAATCTAGAAACAATTTAGAATTTCGATGGAAAAATATCATTTTTGGCCCATACTGATATCCTGTTAAAGATAGCAAGTTGAAGTTTAGTGTTTTTGTAAATTGAATAAAGGAGTAAAATGTATTTTGATCCTTTAAAAAGCTTCACCTTTCCTGGGCAACACAATCATGTGTGAAATGTTCCATTAGGAACAGTTAAGGACTAATATGTTTTATTTACCAGACTCTTGTGAAACATGGTAATTTTGGTTTCTGTGGCTTGAGATGTCTGGTGTTTGTCAAAAGTTGATTGTATCTTTTCACACAACTTAATTTTAAATATTGATGCAAAGCAATAGAACAAGGAGATTTATTTTCCTGACTCTTTTAACTTTTGAACATTATTTTTATTTTGAAAAGCCCTTTATTTTCAGATTACACAGCCCATTGTTAAAATGTCTAAACTTGTCAGTATTGTCAGTATTTAATATTTGTGCTTAAGTATTTAATAAGGGTTTTTAATAAGGGTTTCAGGAAGTTATTGGTTAACTTGAATGAAAAATCATCAAAGAGAGAATCTCTATAGCAGTCAAGACATCCCCCTTCTCCCTTTAAGAAACACTAGCTTCTCCTCCTCCCTCAGGAAAATAAGGCAATTTAGAGAGCAGATATTTTAACTTTAGCTTTTATTTTCATAACTGTACCATAGTAAAGGATCAACATATATTTATGTTCCTAATTAGGTTGGTGTTGTGTGTGTTTGTGTGTGTGTTTAGATGTTTACAGAAATTTACACAACTTGGGGTGTTCGACATTTTTCTTCCACAGCAGTTGGCCCATATTAGCTAAGCAGCCATGATCTGGTTTGTATTGCACGGTCTGCCTTTTTTTAATTTCTTCTCTAGGGTTTCTTTCTCCCCCACCTCCCCTTCTTATTTCTGTTCTTCTGGTCCAGTGAACACTGCATATAGTACCTCTGTCTTAATGTGCTGGCATGATGCTAGACTTAGGCATGGCAGTAATTGATGACGCATGTGATAATGCTGCAGAGGGAGAATTCACACCTGATGGTGCTGAAAGCCCAGTCTTGTTTTGATTTAAGGATAAAATGCCAAGCCCACTTTGCTAAGTTAAAAATCACTGAAGTTGTTGCCTTGTTCTATATCATCTTGGGAATTATCACAAGGTAGAGTTTTACAATAAAATCTGTAGGCTAGCTAGGTAAATACCTTGTATTTGAAAAATAATTTAATTTTCCATTTTATTTAAATGTTTCTTTGGGTCAAAGTTTAAAAACAGATAGCTGTCAGAAGAAAGGCCCTGGTACCGTATTCTACAAGGTACATGGTTGGTTAATATTATACAAGCTATAATTCTGTGGGTACTCTGACTCAACAGTAGCAGGAAATTTAGCTAGACTAAGTTTGCAGCCTAGTAGTCATTATTATTATACTCAAGAAAGGTTTTTTAAAAGCAGTAAATTAAATGATATTTAACATTTTTAAAGCCTTCTTTTAGGGCTACATTTAAAGATTTTTGGAAAAGTCATTCCTTTGGCATGTGGGACTAGTGCTCTTTTTCCTCTCACACTGTCCAGGAATTTTTCCAGCACATTTCATAGGGAGAACACTATCAGAATTCAGTCTGACTGAGTAATCTCAACAAGTAAGAGTGGAATTGATATATGCCTTATTTATTAAATGGTTATTATCTTCTCCACTAAAAATAGCAAATGGTATATAGTACTCAGACTAGATATTTATTTTTTATGAATAATTATATGTTCAGAGATGTATGTTAATAAATTATACTTAGAATGAAAATTTACTCCCGAAACACATTAAAATATGCTTTTTTTGTGATGTGGTAGTTTAGGTAGTAGGGGGGAGGAGCTTCATAGCCGACATGGTGTTAGATAGAAGTGGGACAAAAAGAGAGGGATTTTATTTCTGTTACCAGATCATTTGGGGATAAATTTAAAGTTTTAAAAGAAAGTCCTAAAATGATTGGCATCAAAATAGATAGTGTAGTAACCCCCAAGTGCCCTATCACCTTAGGAATGCTCACCAAATAAGTGTATATTAGTTATACGTCTGGCTGGCTGGCTATCTTGTTGAGCTATCTTGTTTTTAGGGGGAAATGGCGTTTCTAACACACAGAAAGAGTCTCTGCTGAATTAAAATCTTTCTCTGCAGCAATATCTATTGAGAGGTGCTGACTGTTTTGCTACAGCATGCAACTCAAAAGTGGCTGGAAATATGCAGCTTTGGGAGTCTACAGATCATTGCAGGAGCTAAAGGTCTAGTCATTTTTTTTTCTAACAAAGGTAATCTGCAGCAGCTGGTAACCAAGGAAGTCTGCACAGGTTTGTGCCAAGAATATGCCCTTTTGAAGGGTTATTGTGAGTATAGGATTAAGGTCCTTTTGTTTTGTAATAGGGTAAATTTGTTGCGAACCGGCAAGATGGGAAAATGAGATACAAAGACGTGATAATGCATTATGCTTTTGGTAAACTTCTGACGCTTAGCTTTGTTCCTGAGATGATTACCGGTGTTTCAGTTTCAATCAGGAAATGTTTAAAACACATCAAAATCCAGCATTTGTAAAGTATTTCATAATCTTTGTTATAAAGTTTTATTTTCCCTTCTTTACTTCAGCCAACCAGATATCTTTCAGTGAAATTTCTGGTCAAGAATAAAACACTGTTCTAAGAAAATTTTTAAAGAATTGCCAGACAACTTGATTATCTGCATTAAAGGAAAGTAGGAAGTATTAATATTTTACCCTCATTACAAAAAACTTTTAGAACTTATATTTTAAGTTACTGCTTTATGAGATTTTTAGGTCCCAGCTATAATTATGACCTCTATATACTTAAAGATAAAATATTTAGAAAACAAATAAAACTTAATCTAAAACCATAGCGCAGTCTAGGATTCCACCATAGATCCAAGAATTGGTTGATGTGATTTAGGATATGTGGTCCTTTATGATCTTTATCATAGAAAGAAGATGAGAAATCAGATGGGAGAGTGATTATAAGCTATCCAAAAGTTAAAATGCCTGCACCATAGACTTAAAATATGTTGTCATTGTTGCAGCTGGAAGTAAAACTACCCATCAGCCATGAGTTGGTCTTTGTTCTACCTGACTGATTAAAATTCTGTCTGTATAGTTGTCAGGTTGACCGAGCAGGTTTTAAAAAATTAATGTTAAGTTTTCAAATTCCAGTTGCTGATGTTTCCTTTGCATATCTAGGGATTTAGAAGTATATGTATAAGTGGGTTTTGTCATGTTGCATATCTGTTTAGATCTGTGGACTCCACTAGTTCCAAACTGTAACTCCGTAAGACTGCTGATTTGACATTTAGCAGTGACCATATGTGGACTGCACTATAAATAATGTGCTTCTTGGAGCTGAATGGTGTAGCATTACTATATGGCTTTTCTCTCTAGTCTTCATTGTGTCATCTGTAGTGAGCTATAGATTTTTTTGTTTTGGGAAGTTTTACAACTTGTTGTTTGCATGGGTTCACCTAGTAGCACTTGGTTTTTGCTTAGAGTCTTTAATACACAATCAGCAAAGCTTACAATCCACTCAAGAGACTTGCCATTTTTGTCACTGTTGAATATAAGCTAAATGGTATAAATTGAATGTGGCTGTCAACTAAAAGAAAATTCAGTGTGGAATTAGTATTCATCTAGTCACTGACATAATTGTAGTATAGTTTTCTCTTGAGACATGATATTCTATTTCCTATTAAAAATGTGGAATCAGCCCCACACGGTGAAGTAAGTTTTAATCTGTATTTTGGCAGGCTCCCATTATACAGATTGGTGGTGCTGTTGCCAAAATGATCATTGTTACTCTGGTGGTGTACAGCTTCATGGAGCAAAGTTCCTGGGAAAGTTTTCTACTTGGTATTTAATTAATAAAAATGTTGAGGAATGGATGAAACAATAATGAGTTGGTTTTTTGTTTTTGTTTTTTGGCTGGTATTGTGTTTTCAGCATATTGGTAGTTGTTTATAATATACATTTCTTGCTATCAATGATGTTCCCATTTAAAAATTATATTCTTTCTCACACATATAATATAGAGGAACAAAGGGTTAAAATATGACACTTTAATTTACATTTAAGTTTAGAAATATAAAAAAATGTAAAGGCCAATTTAGGTAATCTAGGTGAAAAAAGTTTGAGTTTTTAGGTCAGCTTCATAGTTTAACCAAAATTAAGAAAAACTTCATGCCTAACCAAAGAAAATCCTGCACTGCCACCATTTTTGGAGGCTCAAGCACAGAGACTAACAAATAGGTTGTGGGAGGAATTCTCTGGCGGTCCAGTGATTAGGACTCTGCACTTTCACTGCCAAGGGCCCGGGTTCAATCTCTGGTCGGGGAACTAAGATCCCACAGGCCGTGCCGCACGGCCTGAAACAAAAAAAACAAATAGGTTGCGGGAGCTCTGTGAATCATGTGCAAAACCAGCTTTTTGCCTACTTCCCTTGGGCAAAGTTCAGTTGCTTTATTAATTGTGTATTTCCCTGCATTTCTTCCATGTACATTTAAATTATAAACAGCCTGTCACTGTACATGCCCCTTTGTTAGTCACAAACCAGGCTGTGTTAAAAAAGAAAAAATCTGTTATTTATTTTTGCTTCTATGAGATTATAACTAAATCGCAAATTATATATTTTATTTAAAAATAAAAAACTGAAAGTTTTTTAGTCACTATTACAGTGACCAAAATAGTAATTTGTTACTATTTCAGAAGTTAAATAGTACTCATTGCCCATGTTAGGTCTAGATTACCTGTTAGGACTACAAATTATTTACTGCAGTTTACTGTTATAACATTCATGGGAATAATTGGCAACCTAACCAGAGAGAGTAGATTAATGATTTTCACAGGCTGGCCATTGAATCCCTTGCTCTTTCACAGTGAAAGTTCAATGAACATTTTGATCACTTCAGATTAGACAAGTCTGCTTTGTTCTACTTTGCTATAAGGTATTTTGGTGTGCCTTTCTTGTTACCCATCATCCTTAAGCCTGTTGGAGTTTTGACTAGTGTTTATAAAACTTTTTTCTTTTTTTGGTAAGAAAGAGGACCATAATGAATACTAGTCGTTTCTCCAGAGTCACAGAACTGCCTTTTTTCCTCCAAAAGCAGATAGGCTGAAATGATGGGAAAGGTTTAGATTTTCTGTATTAGTCATTCACTTAATCTAGGAGGTTGGTGAGGGGAAGACTTTCTGGGAGATACGCCTTTTATTTTTGTTGCGTTTGTTATAACTGCAAGGACACAGAGTGGCATGTTAATAATTTTAATATAACCCCTGACAGTTCATTCCCTATGCATACTTGGGGAAGTAGATTTAAGAACAGTTTTCACCTAAAGTTTTAGAAGAGAAATGCCACTGCCATTTTGTATCAATACTTTTTTTTGAGAAGGTGACAGCCATCTTGAGTGGTTTTGTAAAAGTGGTGCTAATGTGTATAACCGTAAATTTTTCTTTTTCCTCCTCCCTTTAACATTTGCTTCTCCTTTCACTGTTGTCAGTCACAACACGCTGCTCTTGAATCTCTCAGCTGGTCTTGACTCGTGAATTTACTTATGCTTTCACTCTTCTTTAATAAATACATTAATTGCAAGCAGTGAATTGAAAACAAGACAAAAAAAAAAAAAGACCGTTAGTGATTGGACAGTTTCTTACTTTGTGTTACATTTAACTGTTCTTTTGACAGCCCAGTTTTTAAAGCCAGGTTCGTATGGAAATGCTTTCACTCCACTTGCACTGCTTTTGGAAATAGCATACTGCTTCATCTGTCTGTTTATTTTAGTGCATTCATAATATAACACAGCATAATGTCTCATCTCCACTTAGCCAAAAGAGTGAGTTTTCTTAAATTAAGAAAAGGGACAACAATTTTTGTCAGCATGGTTTAATACCGTAAATCTGTGCCAAGTATAGTTACAAAATTAGTCTGTTAAAAAATTAAACAATACTTCAGTCAGCTACATAAACTTAGATTCATTCTGCTATCCTTGTCCTTGCCATAGTTAATTCAGTTGTAGGAGTTACGATGATGTAAAACAATGATTTTATGTACAGGTAAGTTTATTTCCACAGTAGTATTATAAAGGCCTCTCTATCTTCCTTTTCTGCTAACATTACTTGTATTAAGACTTACAAAAATTTTTTTAACAATAAAGTTATTTATAAATAGTTAGGCATTCTATACTGGGATTACACATAGCCGTAGCATTTTCTCATTCTCTCAGTTGCTAGCAAAAAATAATCTCTAGTGACCTTTTGTGCACAGTAATGATTTTGTATATATAGGTTTAAAACAACTGCATGTTTTGTTTTAGAAACAGACTTCTCATTATCATTTGCCACATTTTTGTTTTTTTTTAAAGTATCCCGATCTTTGTTCCTCTGATCAATGAAATTCGGCCCAGTTTTCCAGTTGGCATCCTGTCATAAACTCATAGAAGGAAGTTGACCTTTTTTAAAATTTTTAAACAGAGCATTGGGGAGGCTTAATTTTCCTTTTGTAACTTACTGTCAGAGAATATAATAGAGAAATAATTTTTTTCTTTCCTTTGTAACTCCGAAGAGCATTTTACCGTTGAATATGGAGCTGGAAGATAAAAGCAATTTAATATGAGATTTGATTCTAATTCAGAGACTAATTGGTTTAGTTGACTTCGTAATTTGATTTCAGGAAATATGAGATTATTTTCAAATGGTGATACCCAATTAATATTATAAATTACATTTTAATGCATACAGAACACTTTGTGTTTAAAATTTTTAAATGTTTTCTTTTGGATGAGTAACATCATTTTATCTGATACAGTGTTAATGGTTATTTTAGCTTTGTCTCTGTACTTCGCAGTATTTGTAAAAAGCAAAGAATTGGACAAAGGTCTGCAGAGTTTTCTAAGATCTTGAACCCTTACACAAAAGCTGACATTTAATTGTTGTTTCAGGTGTCTTTTCATGTGGTTTACATTGAAGGATCTTTTCCACTGTGCTCCTAGGAAGATGAGACATTATGTATATTGGTTTTTTTCCCCTACATGCACTAATGGTTCTTTACTGTTAACTTACTGCTAGGCCTGTTTCATTCTAACATTTTAGTATTTTTGTTAGATTACATGTTGAAATGCATCACTCAGTCTGTGCTTGAGCTCATTTTATTTTTCTGTTTAATCAATTTAATTTCTTATTTTACTAACCTCACTTTTTTCAGTTTAATATTGGCTGCATGCTAGTTAAATATTTATATTTATATATATATATATATATATATTAAAAAACCAATCAAGTCTAGCCTGGATTTTGCTCTGATTGTGTTTTCATTTCTAGTGGTGGGGCAGTCTTACACTTACAACTTACTTTGTATCATGAAAGCCTGACACATAAGCAGAATAACTAAACACAATGTAGATTTTCTTTAAAAAACTTATAAAGTGGTGCTGTCTAGGTGGTGGATATGATTGTATAAGTACCTTGATTTTTTGCTTTTTAATGTTAGTTTTAAACTTCATAAGTGTATTCTTCCCCTTTTCCCCTTCCCTTTTTTCTCCTTTTAAAAGTGTTATGTACAAAAATTGCCCAGCACACCATCAGAAAGGACCCTTACCCTGTATGTTCTTCCCATATAAAATACTAGCCAGTATTTCTTTTTACATTAATGCCCCCTTTATTGGGCACATTTACCCTATTATTAGCACCTTTTTGCATGCATATATGTAGAATTATCTCTTGTTCATCACCTGTTTAAATATCACTAGGAAGGGAAGAATATATTATTGGAATATTTTTGGTTTGTCTCTCTGTTCTGTCTGTCAGGATAATATTGGACATCGCTTACTCCAGAAACATGGGTGGAAGCTGGGCCAGGGATTGGGAAAATCTCTTCAGGGTAAGTTTTTTAAATATACCAAAAAGAAAAAAAAAAAAAAGAAAGAAAAAGAAAATGTTTCTGATGGCAGATCTTATGCCTGAGTATATTTGTTGTCTTTCTTTAAAAAGTGTTTGGGTTTTCCCACTTGCCTTTTACTCCCCAGAATAGTCTGTTTTTCCTATGACTATATTTTAAATCACTATTAAGCTAATAATTTGCAAGAGTAAGCTGCTGTGTCACAAATACTTTCAGATCAGACATACTGTGTGTGGCTCAACCTGTTTTAAGTTTCTTTTGGTGGAGGTGATGGGTGGGTGGAGGTGATGGGTGGGTGAAGTAAATGCAGTACATAGTATTGGAGTGTGCTTTCTTTGTATTATTTAGTGATGTTGTATTGTGGCTTCAGTATTATAAAGAAAACCATTCAACAGCAGGGTTTAATTTTTGCCCTCCCAAAATTCTCCCTGAAGCTGGTGATTGCCCTGGTTCTTTTTCTGTAATCAGAATCCATGTAGTAGTAGATAGAAAAATTAACCTGTATGAAACATAAGATGGAAGCAGAGGCTTCTTAGGGTTCTCTGAGAGGCCATTTCTCAAGTTCAGATCAGTCTCTGGGAAAGGTATGGCTTAAAGTTTCCATTTCATTTATTTTTTCTTTTAACTATACTAATCATTTGGATAACAAAATACTAACATTTCCGCTTCTGAGTTCTTGCTAGTTGGAAACCAACCAACCAACTCCATTCACTTTTTAGCTCCCTCATATTCAAGGGCTACTGTTTGTTCTTTGCAGATGTGAACACTACCTCAGAAATGATGGAAATCATTGCACTTCTACTTCTGGTCATGGAGGGTCTTGTTGTATAAAGGGATCTTCTGGGAGAGGGGCGCTACTGTTGGCTAATTCTTTGAATTTGGGAAATGAATTTCCACAATTTGAATGGGAAGTCTGATCAGTTCAAATGTGTATATATATTAAGGGGCACAAGAGGACAGGGCATGAAGCAGGATGTTTCAGTCTTTAAAGCCTTTGCTTTTTATATTTTACATCCACAAATTCTATTCAGTGGTAGCACAAAGGAAATGCTCAAAAAATATATTTCAAATTAATATTTATTACTAAGCACTCATCTGTTCTTTTGGGCAGATAGAAAGATTTGATCACCATTAAACTTGTTTTCCAGTGGCATAAGAACTTATTGCACACGATATAAAGAATACAGTTGAGAGCAATTAGTATGGCATAGACCATAGATTTTGTAAGAGTCCAGAAGAGAGAAAGGTAATCAGGACTAAAGTAGAAATGACTTCTTGATAGGATTAGTCCCAGTGTTTTGCATAGTTAAGTGTTGGGTTGAATTGAATGGAGGCAATAGTTCAGAATAAGGTCTGAAGATTGGATTTGATCTTTCCTTACTATTTGAAACCTCTCTTCCTATTCAGAGATTCCCAGGAGCATTGCTGATTGTTACTCTCTTTGTTCAGGCACACAAGGGAGTAGAACTGGGGGGCATTTCATAGGGGCTAGCAAATCTGTTTGACTCAAGAGAGTGAGAGACATATGGACAGTGAGTTTAAGAAAGGTGAGGTAAATGGATACTCACCTATTTTTGGGTGATGGAAAATTATTATTATTGCTTCATTTTAAGAACACTTTTGAATTTGGTTCTCTTTAAACTGAGCTCCTTGAAAAGAGGAATTAGGTTTTATCCATATTTCACCTTCATCTCTATGGTGATAGGGATGTAATAAGCACTCAATAACTCATAAATCCATTATTTATTTAAAATAACGGAAATTTGAAGCCCATCTTTTTTTTTCTTTTTAATTGTGACAAAACCCACATAACATAAAATTGCCATCTTAACCATTTTTAAGTGTACAGTTCAGTAGTGTTTACTAAATTCACATTGTTGTGCAAAAGCCCATCTGCCGTGAATGGCTAGTATAGTCTTTACCCTTCAAAAAGAATGGAGGGCTTCCCTGGTGGCGCAGTTGTTGAGAGTCCGCCTGCCGATGCAGGGGACACAGGTTCGTGCCCCGGTCCGGGAAGATCCCACATGCCGCGGAGCGGCTGGGCCCGTGAGCCATGGCCGCTGAGCCTGCGCGTCCGGAGCCTGTGCTCTGCAACGGGAGAGGCCACAACAGTGAGAGGCCCGCGTACCACAAAATAAATAAATAAATAAATAAAGAATGGAACCTTATTCTATTGCCAATATTAAGGGGTGACTATAATTCTCTTGTAAATGGCTCTTTTATTTTTTAGTGTCACATTCAACGTTGTGCAGGCATTGTGCTGGTTTCTCTTACGTAGCTCTTTCTGTAATACCCACATGATTTGACCTAGAATTCAGCCACATTTATGGTATATTGAGGTAATTCATGACGATTTTTTTTTTTTTTGGCTTCGCGGGCCTCTCACTGTTGTGGCCTCTCCCGTTGTGGAGCACAGGCTCCGGACGTGCAGGCTCAGTGGCCATGGCTCACGGGCCCAGCTGCTCCGCGTCATGTGGGATCTTCCCGGACCGGGGCACGAACCCGTGTCCCCTGCATCAGCAGGCGGACTCTCAACCACTGCGCCACCAGGGAAGCCCCATGACGATTTTTTTCATTGTACCAAACCTTTTCTATAAATAACCACTGAAGAAAGCCCTGTTGCTCCACTGAAAATCATGCCTCCTTACTATTGTATAGACCAGTCACTGCAAATAATTTCTAGGCTCATGGCTTTGTAAGTTCTTTGCATTTACTCGTTTATTGTCAACCTTTAGTTCTTTTTGATTTTAAGGCTCTAACATGCAACCATCCACTAAATTTAAATCTGATCTTTTTAGGATTTTTTTGTTAACGTTTAAAAATTATTTCAACCCATGCAAGATTTTCACAAAGGGTGCCAGTCCCTGGGGCTACAGTGTATATAATTTGTCAATGGATAGGTTGGAGAATAGGGCAAGCTAACTCTGAAGCAAAATTATCTGTGGTACGATAGAAAATTAAACTTTGTAAAGTGAGTTTAATTTTGTACTTGAATTTCCCTTATTCACTTTTTGTTCTCCCCTAGTATTTATTAAAATATTTCAAAAGTTAAAAAAAATAGGAACTTTTGTGTGTGTCAGGTAAGTGATTATTAGTGTTAAAAAAATAAAAGACCTGTAGAAAAGATATATTGACAAGATGTCTGAAGGAAACAACATAAAGAAAGGCCTGGGCTTCCCTGGTGGCGCAGTGGTTGAGAGTCCGCCTGCCGATGCAGGGGACACAGGTTCGTGCCCCGGTCCGGGAAGATCCCACATGCCGCGGAGCGGCTGGGCCCGTGAGCCATGGCCGCTGAGCCTGCGCGTCCGGAGCCTGTGCTCTGCAACGGGAGAGGCCACAACAGTGAGGGGCCCGTGTACCGCAAAAAAAAAAAAAAAAGAAAGAAAGAAAGAAAGGCCTGTTGATGAGAAATGTTATGGACAGTTTTTTATTATAGAGGCAGAGGATGTGTTTAATTTGGAATAAAGCAACAGCAAATGATAGTTGTATTTTGTGGCTGTTGAGCTGGATTTGGTTCTTGAAATTGTTTTATAACCTTCCGGCAGCTTTGAAATGGAATGGAATGTAGCTCAGAATCTTTATTTTGCCATGAAATAGGTAAGTAGGTGTAGCCCAGAAGTGGTGCCTGAACTTCCTTTGTTATATTGTCTAAGCCGTTTGATGATTTGGCTGATTTTTTGGTCACAAAGAAAAGTTCAGCCCTGAGAAAAATGAATGAGATGTGGTATTATTTCATATTTCACGCTGTCTAGAGGGTTCAGTCAGTAACAGACAGCCAACATTTACTGAGCTAATAATGTATTCTAGTTATACCAGTTGTAAATAGCATAAGCCATGGGCAGCGTAGATAAGACATCACTCCTGCTCTTCAGGCTTATTTTCCAGTCCCCCAAGTCTGCTTTTTAAACTTACTGTATACCTTTGAAGGTTTTTTAAGGCCAGGGGCCATGTTTTATATTTTTTAGTATGTGATCAATTGAATATTTAATTGACAAATTGCTTCAAGTTCCTTGAGAGTAGGTATTCTCTTTTATTTTTGTTTAAAAGTACTTGGTGTAGGGTATGAGGCAGTGTGAGCAGCATTTGGAAACGTAAGATTTAGGTTAGAGTTTGGCTCTGCCACTTACTTTAAGGGACAAGTTGCCATAACTGAATTATTTTTCTCAGCAATAAATGGGGATTAAAATCTGCCTCTGTTCTCACAGAGTGATTATGAGGATAAAGTAAATTAACGTAAGTGAAGTCACTTTATACAAACTGTAAAACGCTATGTAAATGCTACTTGTTATTAACACCGCTGATGTATAGTGTATATTTAGATATTTTAACTGAATTTGAGATAATCCATCTTTAGGTCTTCATCAAAAACCTAAATATAATAAAAATCATAAATAGAGAAGCCTCTATCTTGCTACTCTCTATTTTCTAGAATTTGTAACAGTAGTAGTTTAATATGATATGCTAGATATCTGACTCCCAGATCTGTGCTTTTAATGCTGTATATGTCGTAGGGTCCTGAGCCCCTAATTTTGGTGTTTGTTTCAGTAATTCTGAGCTCTTAGTTAGAACATCTAAAAGAGCCTCAGTCACTGAGCAATGGTGTTGTGACAACTGTATAGCAACCCAGAAAAAAGAAGTTGGATCCCCACTGTCATACCTTACCCCAGAATATATTCCAGATGAATAAAATATTTAAATGTAAAAAATGAAATCATGAAATCATTAAGATGAACAGTGGGATAATTATTATTTTAAAAATAATCTTAGAATGAGGAAAACATTTCTAACTTCAACTCCAAACCCAGAAGACATTAAATAAAGGATAAATTTGACTGTATTTCATCATAAATAAGGTAAAAAACCAGAACAAGAAAAAAACAAACTGGGGGATGTATCTGTAATATTTCATTACAGACAAAGGACAGATTTCCTTATGTATTTATCATCAGTTTGTAAAAGACTTATAACCTAAATAGAAAGGG